AGAGGCAGATTGGTGCGGAAACGTGCACAGTCTCGACTCCAATCCGCATTCAGTATGCGTGTTCTGCAGGGGGACCTAAACTTCTGAGCCCTGGCAAACTCAGCATGCTGGTGGACATTGGTTCGAACATCATTATCATTGGAAATCGGCGACGCACGGGGGTTCGATACATAATCCTGCCAGCATGGACACATGCCGAAGGTCATGCACCTAGAGAGGCTGCTGTACGTCAGCGGAGTTGGCAGAGGCGCAGCCATGTGCCGGTCTCTTGGAACATTCAATATCGCGTGCAAGTAGGGCGCTTTTGTTGGTAACATCGCCGAGGGACCTGGCTCAGACCTGCCAGCCATTCCTGGCCTTGCCCCCATGCAGTCAAAGAGGGCAATCCTGATCCTGGAGGAACGCAAGAGACTTATTTTCTTTCCTCTCTCATGCTGGAAAAGACGCCCTCGGGGCATTGGGTAATTTTGTGTTTAAATATCGGGGGGTCACTCCCGGAACAGAGGGTGAGTCGACGGCGGAGACCATCGCATATGTCAGTTGAGGGAGCTCCTCCCATCGCGAGACAGAGGCCGACCATGAGACGCTGGATCGATCCATGGGCCAGGCCGTGGACGACGCTGTCACTATGATGGTCAGCCCGACAGTGGGCCACTTGCGTCGATCCGATCGCCCGTTGGATCGCCGCGAGATGGCGCGCGCTCTGGTGGCAGGCATTTACCGCAAGGTGAAGGAGGCAGCCGGCAAGCGGGGCCCGTGCCCCGCAACGAACCTTCTCCATCCACATCTAGAAGATGCGAGGAACTGGCTCACATGAAGCCCCAACGCATCAAGGGCGGCCGCGCCCAGAGAAGATCGGGGCACCATCCCAATTGCGTAGGACATGCCACAGGTCTTCCACATGGGAGACCTTAGCTCGTCGTCCAGCAACGCCGCCGAGCAGGGCGCGAGCGGGGGAATGACTTACTCGAGTGATGAGACGCCGTGCATCCTACCCTCCCCCCCCGCCCACGCACACGCGCGCGCGCGTCGATGGCCCTCGTTGACGGGGCCAGGCGGACCTTCTGGCCAAGCCTGCGCGCAGCCTCGAGGGGGCCAGAGGCGCGGGCGCGTGCCTTGTAACAAAGGACAGCGTGGACACGCGCCCAACAACAAACAGGGGGTCCTATCACTCCAAAGTATTGGTTATAGAAGATATTCGCGCGGCTACAGCCGAATTACGCCGCCGAGGATACATGTGCGATCATATTCTTCATAATGAGGTGGTGACATCGATGGGGGCACAATGCCTCGGAGGCATATTTTCAGGAGGCTGTTAATTTTTCTGGACGGCCACGCCCGCTGACTGGCGCGTCAAATTGCCTGGCAAACGGGCTGGGCCGCGCTATGAGAGGGGGCGTAATCTTCTAACTAGAGCACGAGCTCTCAGGGTTCACGTTGTCATAAAGGGACCACCTGTAAATCTTGAAACAAACTCCAGTGCGAGAGATCCGGATGCGTCTTTGTCATTTCGTCATTCAGCTCGGTCGTGCCAATGGGGGGCCAAACAGCTCTCATATGCAAGTTGTACATTCTGCCCGAAAAGACCAATCACATCATGGAGATGCAAGTGTGCAAGTGTTAAGGGGCATCAGCTAGACTGGTGCGGGCGCTACCAGCAGCATGCCGAATGGCGAAACAAGACGCTGACATTTCTTACAGCGCAGCTTGTGAACCATCTTTGCAAACGCACGAACAAGGACAATTTTCAAGTATACGTACAAGTGTTCACCCGTGTCCGTGTCGGGGCGACGTTGCGTGTCGCGTTGCTCTCGAAGATGTCAAGGTCAAAGACCCGACCAGGTGTGGCTGGACAGCGCCGCCGCCGCCCGGAGTCTGCAACGCATGTGCGAGACTGCGTTGGCAATCGCCTCTCCCTTGGCCTTGCTCGGGCACGGGAGGCCGCCGAGCCGCTGGAAACGAGTTGCGTTCATCGCGGATGATCGATCTGCTCCCCTCTCGATTGGGCTTTGCGGGGCCCGCCTGCAAGTCCGACTTCTTTGTTGATGACAGAAGCATCGCGCGCGCGAGCGGCGTTTCCTTTTGCCCGAAAAAGATTTAATATACACACAACAATATGATGAGGAAGCGGGCATCAATCCAAAAACACCAAAATAAGTTGAAGGCGGCGGCGATGATTGTGGTTGCGACTTTAAAGGCGCGCGAGAAGCCGCGCTGCTCTCTGACGTTCTAATAGAAGAGCTGGAATCAGATGAAGACGACAGCCTCTTCATGGCACTGTCAAGCGGCATCGCGGGCGCGCGCGCCGGAATATTTACGACGTTTCCCCCCTCTGCGTCGGGGGGGAAAATTGCGTTGATCTGTTGGAACTGCGTGGAGGCACTGGTGGCATATCGCAATTTGCTTACAAGGGGAAGCCCTCCGCTGGAGGTAACCTGGATAGACGTGCCAGCGTTGACATGGGTAACGCACTAGTGCAACGAGCAGTGTGACAAACGCAACAGCTATATTGCAACCGGTTTGCAGAAGCGCGGGCTTGCCGTCGTATTGTAAACCCCAAGTCAACGGCGATACTTGGTACAGACGCCAGGGAGGACCTTCCCCGCGCCGCCTCATGCAAGGTCGCCTCCAACGCATGTTCTCTAGGGAGCACCCGGTTGGCTCTGGGGTAGATGAGATTGCTCCCTGGGCGACACTTGTCGAACGCGAGGCCACTCGCGCGCAGGTAATGCACCAGTGCTTGACAGAGCTACACGATTCATAGGGCATTCTTATCGAGAAATCTGGTGACATGATGGCCAAGCATCAAGCAATTCTTGAACCACTTGCATCCAACACACGTTCTGGCAATCGTGAACCTGCCCAGACGTGCGACCGAGAACTTGCGCAGGCGGCCCAGTGCACGCCAGAGATGCAATCGCTGATCGCATGCGCAGTCCAGATTGCAAAGCCCCTTCTCTGCACGGTGCTTCAATCATTTTGCCGACAGGCATCACGCAAACACCTTCGTGGTCAATAGGGCTGGATTCGACCTCGATGATCCCGCTGCGCCGCGGGTGGGCCGCCATCGGGTGGACTTGGTTGCCCAGCTTGCGCCGACAACGTTCGAATGAGCTCACCAAGTCGCGACCGACATTCGCGTCGATGTCAGGTATGATAAGGGCCCCCATTACTGGGTATGCCAAACTTGCAGAAAAGGACCATGGGAACAACAAACGGGGCCACTTGCTGACGCCAGGCAAGTGCAGGATTGCCCAACCGTGGCAGCTGCCAGACAACCGCGGACAAGCCCCACCAGCTGCGCCAGCACCGGTGGAAAGGGGCACTTGCACCTGCTGCTGCTTCGCCAGCAGCGGCGCCAGAGCACCTCTTTGACGAGGTACGTGCGCCAGCAAAGCCGCCGCCAGCTCGCCACAGACCACGGGGAGAAGCACGGCCACGTGCACTTCTCTCCTCACGTAGAAATCCAAGGGGCCCAATTGTGGGCGCCAGCAGCAACGATGTGACAAGAGGCGCGCGCAGTGGCTCTGGGGCCGGCAGCTCTTCTGACCCCCCGCGTGTCGCGGGGCGTCGTGAGCGAGAGGAGAGCGGCGTGGAACCGCCTCCTCCCCCGCCTCCAGCGGAAGCACGGCCGCGTGCAAGATTACCTGACTGGTCACGACTTGACATCCAGAAAAGGCTCCAACATCTACGGATTTACGATCCGACCACCCTTGTAAAAGAGTTACGAAAAGTCCACTTACGCTGGCACCGCTCTTTTAAACCAAAGATGCGTGCGATTCTGTCGCGTGTTGGAATTGGTGCTGTAGATTAAACATGATAAGAAGAGTAGTAGACTCAGCCTGGGAGAATCAAGGTAATACTGTAGGGTCTCGCAGGCCGTTCTCAGCCCTGGCAAGCGGTGGTCGGCAGATTTCCACCATTTTGGCCTCTCGGCGGCATCCCTGGTAGGGTTCATCCACCTGAGGCGGTTTTGTGGATTCGGAGGCATGTTCAAGGCCATCTCAGTCCAATTTGGAGGCATCTTGGGTTATTTGAGCATCATGGAGCCACGCAAGACCACTTTAAAACCCTTTGACCCCCCGCGACCCCCCGACACGTGGCAGCCGATCCGATTCGATCTGGTGTCCCCCTCCGTCTTCGGCTCGGCGCCTCCCCCTCCTCCTCCCTCAGCTGGGGCGTCGAAAGGAGGACCGCCAGCCCTGGCCTCCCGCCTGCTTCGTCCAGCCGGCCCTGTACTCCCGCCTGCGCGTTCGCCATTTTCTGTCTGCTTCTCGTTCCCTTTCTCCTTCTCCGTTGCCGCGCAGCACAGACTGCAGGGAACCGGAGTTGCCAGGACGCTGCCGCGGGATGGGGGGCATTTGGAAGACCTGGGGGACCACGACTGAGTCGGAAGGGGTTCGGTGTTCTTTGCTTCTTTTTATCCGTCGGGTCTTTTGCGCAAAAGATCAGCCATGCCAAGGGTAGCAGTCACTCCACTCCTTGGTCAAGATTTTATCTTGTAGGACACCCCTTGGCCCACCCGGCGCCTCGTGGAGGCAGTCCTGGGCCATCCGGCGCCATCTTGGAGCCATTTCGGGCGATCCAGCGCCTCGAGATTTGGGGGCTCCAATCCCGCCCCGGACGGGGAGGAGAATGTGCAGGAGGGGGTTGTTTTTGGAGGGCCGGCATGACTAAGTACGGCAGGTGCATGAGGGGGTTGTTTTTGGAGGGCCGGCATGACTAAGTACGGCAGGTTCACGTCGTGCCGACTGGCGGCGACCCCGCCGTCGGCGTTCAACGTTCAAGGTTGGACGATCCCCGCGGTGTCAGGAACCAACGCCGAAGCCGGCAAGACGCGAACTTGCCGTGCGCCCAGGGGTCCGTGAGACCTGGTTTACTCGGTGGGGCTTTCAGACGCCAGCGGTCTCCCAGACGCCCACCGCTTCCGAGACGGCCCCGTGACGGGCCAACGGGCCAACACTGGCACAAGTCGGCAAATTGCCATTTCGGCTGACCTCAGGAGTTGGCTCAACCAATTCCTCCTCGCAGCGCCAGTGTGCCCAGCAGGTGCTGCGACCCCAGCTGGCCCGCGGTATGGCGCGCGCCCAGCCAGCACCGCCCCAGACACTGGCACAGGACTTCGCCGGCAACGCCTGCGAACCCATCATTACCAGCCTGGAACATATCCCTATCCCTATGCTGGGCATCTCCTCATCACGATGCCAATCTTAGGGATTCCCTTATTTTTTGAGGCCGCATCCCTAAGATTGTCATCGCCTTTTGGCGTGTCAATCTTAGGGAGAGGGATAAGTTCGAGGCTGGTAACATCAAGCCAGACACGAGCATGGCCAAGCTCGGAGACCTCAGCAAGTTCGGCAGCCTCGGCGAGAGCGTCGCCTCGAGCGCGGCCACCACCTGCGACTGGCCCGGCGGCGGGACCGACGGGCGGAGGCAGGTCTCCCAGGCGGCGTGCTCGGACGCCTCCTCGTGGGAGGAGCTGGGGGTGGAGCTGACGAGAGACGAGATCCTGTCGGCTGTCCGGAGCGTGGTCAAGAACAGCGTGCACGCAGCCTCCGTGATGGACCCCACGGACCCCGACCAGCGCCTGCTGGCGGTGTCGGAGCCGCTGCAGGAGCTCACGGGGTTCCACGAGTCGGAGCTGCTGCAGGCGTCCGCCCGGCTCCTGACCGCGGGCTGCGAGGACGAGATAGACCCCGGAGTGCAGGCCGCCATGAGGAACGCGCACCTGACTGGAAGCCCGCTCCTCGCCCAGGCCGTGAACCGGAACAAGCAGGGCTGGCTCTTCTGGAACACCATGTACATCCGCGGCCTGATCGTCGCCGTCGACCCGGTCTCCGAAGAGCCGCTGTGGCTCGTGTTGACGACCTACTCCGGCTCGGAAGGGCCCTCCGACGAGGACGAGGAGGACTCAGGGCCGGACCTATAAACGGTGTTTTGGCGATCTCGTGTGCCATTTTCGCTTCGATCTCGTTTTGCGGTGGAGGCGGATGGGAGACAGCACGGGGGACAAAACGACGACAAAACGAGAACGAAACTCGCCGTTGGAGTTCAGCCCTGGGAGGCCTCCCGCGACGCCCTGCGCCGGCTGTGGGGCGCCGGCGAGGACCTCCGCGCCGAGGTCCAGAGCGCGCTTGCCCGGCTGCCGCCCGGCGGAGCCTGCCGCCCGGCCGGGCCCGAGGCGGAGGCTCCGCCGGGCTGCCGCGGCGGCGCCGCCGAGGACTGCTGCGGCCTGGGCAGCGGCCACGCGAGGAGGAAAAGGTGCCTTCGATGCTCGTTTTGGGGACCTTCCTGGGGCCCACCTGATGGATCTGTGCGACTCAGCTTCGACGCAGGTTCGACTCAGGTTCGGCACAGGTTCGACTCCGACTCGGGTTCGACGCAGGTTCTACTCAGGTTCGACGCAGCTTCGACGCACGAGTGGAGCGAGTGGCTCCAGGAAGGTCCCCAGAATGAGCATCTAAGGTACCGATACCCCAGACCTCCTCGCGCTGTGAAAAAAGCACGGCGGGAGGTTTTTCACTATCTTCGGCCTCCGGGGGCCCGCACCGGGCCTCCGGAGCATCAAAAGCCGACTCGGGATGGAAAGCCGGTCCTGGGGAAGGGGTCCAGACCTCTGGGGGTCGACGTCGCGAAGGAATCACGACGTCGGGGGTCTGGGTCCTTCCCTCGTTCTCGTCTTTTCAGGCTTCCTGGGAGGCCCGCGTCGCCACGGCCCGGTCCGCCTCGAGATGCCAGAGGGCACCCATGGGAGAGGTCCGGGGCTCAGCGGCATCGGTGCGTTTGCTGTTTCCCCAGGCCAGTGCATCGCCCTCCAGTGGCCGCGCTGGTGCTGAGCGTGCCACGCCGCTCTGCATCGTCGGCGAGATCGCCCCGTCTGCCGCCCGGCCGAGTCCGAGGCGGACGCTCCGCGGCGACTCCGCCGAGGACTGCTGCGGCCTGGGCAGCGGCCAGTGCATTTCAGGGCCGCTGAGACCATGGCACTACACGCCAGGACTTTGAACAGCTGGGGAGAGCGAAGAGTGGAGGATGCTTCGACCATCGGGGGCAGTTCTATCGGGCGCGCCAGTGTATTGGTTTATCCAGAAGTGCCCGCTCAAGGGTTCCTGAGCATCGCCCTTGATTGGCCTCGCTGGTGCTCAGCATGGCGTGCCTGGCTGCTTCACTCGCATAGGAGCGAGAGCGTGTGCGCGGGCTGTGCAGCTGCTTGCTTGCCACCTCGTTTGGCGACGACGCAGCCGCAACAGCTCGGCAGCGTCTGTACTAGCCGTCTTCCAGCGTATTGGTGGCAGATGGCGCCATGTACACGTTCCCTTGCGGTCTGCGCGGCTTGCATCGTGAGTTCTCCAGCCTGCCGCTTTTGCAGCTGGGGAGTGGAGGGTTCCGCCGCACTTGCTCCCCAAGGGCTTGACGACTTGTATGCCATCGACTCGCGGGGATCAGGCCAGACTCATGGAGAAGCAATCCAGGCAAACCGAGGCACACCCATATATATATATATATATATATATATATATATATGTACCCAGTGAGTTCCATCTATCCCCAGGGACTTCTAGAGCAGCTCGTGGACAGCAGAAGTCGTTAAGCCCTGGACGATTTACTCGGCCCTCTCTCTCTCTCACAGAGCCCAGCCTGTCGTGCCAAGGGGCAGGTCCGCGCGCTCCACTTGCGCCGCCCACCGAGAGCGCCACGATCTCGATATGCTGTGGCCAGTCGGTGGTGGGAGGATGCCAGACCCAGACCTCGCGTCGTGAAAAAATCACGACGGAGGTTTTTCGCTATTTTCGGCCTCCGGGGGCCCTTCCCGGGCCTCGGGACCGTCAAAAAACGACTCAGGACGAAAAACCGGTCCCGGGGAAAGGGTCCAGACCTCTGGGGGTCGACGTCGTGAAAAAATCACGACGGCGGGGGTTTGGGGAGCTAGGCTTTGTCCAGGTGGCGCTGGTGTACTCCGCTCGAGCGGCTTTGGACTTCCTTCAGCGATGAAGCTCTGGCGTTTTGGCTTGGCATTCAGTCCAATGGTGGGCCGTGGGATTGGCAGGGGGGGCGCGCCGCTTCCCCTCGGCCGCGCGAGCCTGCGAATCATGAGACACTGGAGATCACTGCGAGACTCGTGAGCATCCTCAGCGTCTGGTCGGCCCGCCGGCCAGAACTCGTCGTCCCCCTCCCCTCTTCGGTGGGTGAGACACAGCCCCCGCCGATGATGCCGCCGATGACGTTTCACCAAGCATGCGTTCGACGCGGCGGCGACCCCAGCGCGGGCGCTCGAGGTTGAGCGCCGCTTGAGGCCCAGATTCGAGCGACCTGCACGGTCGGAACGCCGCGGTTGTTCAAGGCTTGACGAGCCACGCGGCGTCACAAGTTGGCGCCGACGCCGTCGCGACACGAGCCTGCCCTGCGTCGGCACTCTGCCGAGGGGCCCTCGGGTGCTCTGCGGCCCGGCCAGCCGCCGCGGCTCTCTGGCCTCTTGATCGCCCGCGCTCCCTCGGGAGAGCGCTTCGCTGGGATCGAGGGAAGAAGCACGCCGACCATGACCAAGATATCGCGGGATCTTGCCGACGCCGACCTCGGTCATCGTCTTTGCTTCTGTCTGTCGCCGCTCCGCGCGACTCTGGAGTTCTGCCCGGATTCCCTCCGGCCAGGTTTTCCTCGGTGCCCCCTTCTCTGCTGTTACCGCACGACTGCAGCGGGCGGTACATAGTTTCAAGTGGCCCAGGCTGGTCAAGCGCGGTCGCAAGGGTGGCGTCAATTCTCCCAAATCCGAGTCGTTCTAGATTGCGGCCAGATTTTGAGGACATTCTGCATTGCAAGCGATATAGCGCTGCCAGCCGCTACCGCCCACCGACCTTGGGTGCAGGCGATTCTTCCTTCCCACATCGCGAGCAGATCAAGTGCACGCAGGTGTTCGATGATACCGCTTCACCGTATAAGGGCACCAGATCAGCAGTCTTCCTTCTCCGCCTCCTGTTTCTGTTGCTACTCATCCAATGATCGGGGTTACGATAATGATCCTAAGTCATGGGGGGCGGGGGCAGAATTACTTCCTTTGCTTCGACTGCTGGCTCGTGTCATGCTGGCCAGAGTGCGTATTGTGTGCCATGGTTGTTCTTTTTTAGTGAAATCCGTAAGCTTTATAAACTCAGCTCGCTCCAGGTACTACGCTACCCAGTTGCGGGTCTTTTTCAATATGCTTGATTTCAGGAGAGATGCCTCCTGTTTCAAGACGGTCGTCGGCTGCGCCGGGAAAGCTCCCCCCGAGCCTTGTCTGGCTGTCGCGCGCTTAATAGCCAGACAATTCGAGCGCGCGCGGACGGTCTATTTTTGAATCGTGCGCAAGAACCGATCATATGAGCGTGCAGACAAACATGCACGGGCGTGGTTCAGGAAGGAAAAAAACACAGACACAATTAATCGTCGATTCCCCAGAACATATTGGAACATATGGGCAGTGGGGGGGAAGACAGAAACCCAGAACATATGGGAAAATATGGGGAATATTTTATTAGTGTGTATTTATTTGTGTGTCCTGGGACCCCTTCAGTGGTGGCGTACAGAGGCTGGCTGGGCGCATAGAATTCAGTGGCTCGGGCTCTCGTGGGGTGCTCGCTTCGAGGCCTCTTTTGGGGATTCCGTGGTTCCCTCGGCATCGCTCGGACGTGTGCGTTTTTCCTTCGGCGATGGCCGTCGAGGAGCATCCTTGATCATTTGGCGAAAAAAAACACGCACGAAACCGAAAAAAACACACGGAATGGACGTCCGTGCGATGGCGAGTTCTTCTCGGGTGCTCTCGAGGGTTTTTTTGGGGGGCCTCTGGAGGGCCTGTTCTCGAACTTGACTTTGCCTCATGGGGTACCCGTGGGTGCGGCGCCTGGTCGTGCTGGGGTTCCCCTGGTCCTGTTTTGTTTCTTTCCGAGCGAGTTCCTCGGGGTTCCCGGGCCCTGTGTCTCTACGCTCGCATTCCTGGGGTTCCTTTGGTCATGGTCCATGCCCGCCGTTCCCGATTCTCGAGGACGGATCCACGAGCTGATGACGACAAAGGTGGACGATGGCGGTCACGATCGGCACCGACGTTTCCCCGCTCAGTCTTGGTCATGTCCTCGTTGCCCTCCCCCCCCAGCGAACGCCACCTTCAGGGATGAACTGCCGGGCGCTCGGTGAGAGTGACGCTCACGCGGCCCCGACTCCGTTTGCACAGGAAGACGCGCGCCTCGCCGCTGGAGCTCCTCCCACAAGGGGAAGCGCGTGCGGCAATGGGAGCGAGGACATGATTGCGGAGGCCTTGCGGCTCGTGCCGCCGACACTGAAGAGGGACGTCGACGACGACGGCGGCGACGGCGGCGGCGACGACGACGACGGCGTTGATGTGGGCCCAATTCTGCAGGGATGCTTCTTGGGGTCTCTTGGGAAGGCTCTCGGGGGCCTTTATGGGGGGAATTTGGGATCTCGTGGGAGCCTCGTGGGGGCCTCTTGGGGGCCTTTTCGGGTGTTCTGGGGGCCTCTTGTGGGCTTCTTGGGGCCTCTTGGGAACCTCTTGGGGCCTCCTGGGAACTTCTCGGAGCCGAGGGCTCGAAATGTCCACTTGGGTTCCCCGTCGAGGCACGCTCTTGGAGCCGTCTTGGGGGCCTCTTGGACCGTCTTCATGACGTTTTGGGCTGTCTTGGGGTTCTCTTGGGATGTTATGGAGCGCTCTTGGAAGCCTTTTGGGCCGTCTTGGGGTGATCTTGAGGGCCTCTTCGGCCGTCGTAGAGCGGCGGGAAGCGGAACAGGCGAGCGTCAAGGAAAATCAATAGCTTTGCTTCTTGGGGCCCTCTCGGGAGTGCCTTTGGAGGCCTCTTGGGGCGTCTTAGAAGTCTCCTGGGCAGTCTGGGAGCGTGACGGCGTTTTGGACCGATCGTTTGGCGATTGGGCCCTTTTGGACCGTCTTGGGGGCCTCTTGGAGCACTCTTGGCTTTTTTTGCTACTTTTTGCAGCCCGGGACCCCCAATGGGTGTGAGCGCATTATTTTGCCTTTTCGCATGTGATTTCTGCACCGCGTCCAATTTTCGCTGATCGCTGTTCAACATCGGCGATGAAACGTCCATGTTGAAAGGGACTGCTTGGACTTTGTATTGCTTTCTGATGGGTAGGGCGGAAGGGCACACCTACGTAATTGGGGCGAGCACGGGGGCAGGAGTATCCAGCCGCCCGCGGGAAGTTTCGCCACTTGTGCGGCGACGCCCACAAGGCTGCAACATGTGACGTCTCTCGGCTCTTTATGTTTTGATGGGGCTCTCATGAGGCCTAGCTGGGCCATCTTCTGGCTGCCTTGGGCTCCTGCAGAACCTTCGTGGGGCCCTCTTTGGCCGTATTGGTGCCGTCTTTGTCCCCCCTTTCGGCCGTCTGGGGTCTCTTGGGGCTGCCTCTGGCCATCTTGGTGCTCTCATGAGCTGTCCCAGGCCCCTCTTGGACCGTCTTGGGCCCTTCTCGGGGCTGTCATGGGCAGCCTGGGGTGCCCTTCGGGCCCTCACTGGGCTCTTCTGGCTCTTTTGGTATCTGCTTGGGCCCTCGACAGCCCTCTTGGAACACCCTGAGCCGAGAGGGCAAAAGCATACGATGTTCTTTGGTACGTGCTGTGTCAGCTTTCCCGGAAGACACGTGCGTGTGGGCTTTCTGCTTGGTGTCTGGGGAGCCTCGTGGCGCCCCTTTGGCGCCTCTTTGGGCTTTCTCGGCCGTTGGGTGACTCTCGAGGCAATGCTGGGCCATCTCGGCGGCCTCAATAGCTTTACCAGGCCTCTCCTCCAGGAAGCCTTGGGGAGCCTTAGAGTGCCATAGGGGAGGCGTCGTGCCGCCCAGGGAGTCTCGGGAAGGGGGGGCCATGCACGCGCCACTGTGCGGTGGCAGGAGCTCTACCAGACAGCATGTGGCATTCTACCACGCCTCGACGTACCAGGGGGCGCAGTGGCAGATGTACGCATCATGAACCAGGGTTTGAGGATGCTGCGGCCCCCTGTTATGCTCCCCTCGACCCACGTGTGACGGGGGCAGTCCCCGTGCTGCACAACGGAGGCCAGATCGTAAAATTTAGTTTCCCGTCCCTCTTCCCCTCTCTCCCCTGCTCTCCGCTGCAGGACGTGCACGGATACACCAACGCCTACACGTGTCGAATCGAGTCGAGTCGAGGAGGAGGAGGAGGAGGAGGAGGAGGAGGAGGAGGAGGGGAGGAGGAGGAGAGGAGGAGGAGGAGGATGGAGAGATGATAATGATAATGATAATGATAATAAGATAAGGATAATAATGATAATGATAATGATAAGGAGGAGGAGGAGGAGGAGGAGGGAGGAGGAGGAGGAGGAGGAGGAGGAGGGAGGAGGAGGAGGAGGGGAGGAGAGGGAGGAGGAAGGGGAGGAGGGCGCCGTGATGCACAGGCGCGCGGTGCCCACGGAGGGCCCGCCTCGGCCCGCGCCGATGAGGGCCGCCGGGCCGCTGCCAGAGCCCCTGGTGCCGTACGCCGAGCGCCTGTTCGCGTGGTTCCCGGAGGCGGGGCCCTCGCTCGGCCACGCGCAGAGGGGGGTGGGGGGAGGGGGGAGGGCTTCTCAGAAGCACCCCTGCTTCGTAGGAGCCCTCCCCCCTCCCCCCACCCCCCTTGTGCGCGCCGCCAGCTCGCGGCGGCGCGGCTGGTCTCTTGGGGGCGCGCCTGGGACAAGAGTGCATCCGTCCCCAGAGCGTTGCGGGACGCTCTCAGAGCGTTCCGGACCGGTCTGAGGAGGCCGCTGCGCCCGAGGTGTCCTCCAGAGCCGCCAGATCTCAGAGATTCTCGATGTATACTCACCCGAATTTGGCCTCGTCCGGGCTTCGTCTTACTCGCGGCGTCTCTCGGGGGCGGCCAACAGGAGGGCGATGGCTGCACTTCTCTGTAGATGTGATGCATCTCGAGTCGCCGACTGCGGAGGCCTTACGGCCGGAACCGCCGACCCTGAAGGGGGACGACGACGACGACGACGACGACGACGACGACGACGACGGAAGCGACGACGACGACGCTGACGCCTGGGAGCCGAAAGCTCCCGCTCCCCCTCTGGCTGAAACGCTTGAGGGGGAGCGGCGACGAGGACGTCTCAAAAAGGACAGCCTCTCCCACACGCCAACAGTGCGATGATTACACTGCCCTGGAAAAGTGGTGCAGTGCTACTTGAGTCGCCGATTGGTTTGTTTTTGTCGCCTTCGGTTTTTTGTCGTCTTTGACCTCCAGGGGCAGCTTTCGGACCCTGGGGGCCGCCAGAAACGGCCCCGGATAAAAGCTATCCCCAGGGAAGCCCCCCGGACGATTCTTCGACACGACCTGCAAAAGTTGCATTTTTTTTCCAGGGGGAAGGGGGGGGTGATATCCATGGCGGGGGCCATGAGATCTCCCGGATCTCATGGCCCCCTCCTCTTCTCTGAGTACGTCTCCTGGCCCCCCCTCTGGCCCCCCCTGGGCTGCTCGTGCTGCTGCTGTCCATGCGTTCCGTTGCATGCGTGAGACCTCTTTTGTATCGTTCGGAGAAGGACCGCCCAGACTCAGGAGGAAGAGGAGGAAGGAGGAGGGGGAGGGAGGGAGGGAGGGAGGGAGGGAGGGAGGGAGGGAGGGAGGGAGGAGGAGGAGGAGGAGGATGACGAGGAGGAGGAGGAGGGGATGCTGACGACAAGAAGCTCAGCAGCTACTCTGCTGGCCTGGGCGCGTGGGAGAAGCGGGGGAGTCGGCTGCGCTGCCGCGGCCACCGCGCGGGAGGAGCTGCCTGTCGGGGAAAAAAAAGCACTGGGGCGCCGCGCCCGTGCTTCGGGTCATGACTGGCGAGCCCCCTCTAGGACGCCCCCCTCTTGGACGCCTCCGATTATGATGTTCCAACCTACTTTAGCCTTGATCACCAGAAAGAATTTCGAGCGCACCCCAAATCTCGAGGGTTTTCACGTGTCGGGCCCTGGGAGACACTGTTTCGACACTGTTTCGACACTCTTTCGACACTGTTTCGACACTTTTCTGGGTACTCGAAATTATCTCTGGGATGTGGTCCTTAAGTAGGATGGGAGCAACATAACTCTTGGACGCCCCCCTCTTGGACGCCTCCGAGTCCCCTGGCCCCCTCCCCTCAGCTGCCCCTGCTCGCCCGCCCGGCGCACGCGGGGAGGCGGGGGGCGTGCTCGAGGTCTTGAAAGGGGCGTTTTCGCCGCGCCTCGGCGTCTTTCCGGCCCCGGGATGCTCTCCAGCTGCGCCTCGCTGAGGGCGCTCTGGGGGTGGGCAGATCCTCCCGAGCTGCCGCCGGGGGGACGGAGTTATGATTCGGAAGCCGTGAGCGACGCCTTCCCCACCCGCCTTCTTTTGATGCTCATCTGGAGGATTTTCCTGGCGACCACCTAGCGGACATGTTTGACTCTTGTCCGGCTCGGGC